GAGAGTGTTTTACAAAAGTTATATGAAAATTGATAATTGCTAGCACAGAAACCATTAATCTCGTCAAAACTGAGCATTGTTTCATTGATATAAACATACAGGTACACTAACCTCCAAATGACTTTTGTACTTTCATACTCCTATATTTATTTTAATGATGAATAATGTTATTAATACAGGTGGTGCATTTCTGTAATCACTCCATTTATTTATGTAACAATTCAGACACATAATTTACTCATTTCCTCACAATATTTTGTTCTATAATGGAAAGAATGGAAAGAAGATAGAGGACATATTTTTGACTTTTGAAAATAATGTTATTAATACTGGACAAGCAATATGTTTATAAACAACAGAAAATTATTTTCAGTTTGATTAAATAACATTGTTTTGATGCATTGCCATTTCGATTTCACAGTACTTTCTGCTCTCCATCCAATCTGACTTCATCTAGCAAGTTCAGGAATGATTTCTGAACATAGGTTAGCTTGCACACTATGAAGTCAACAATAAACACAACTTCTCCCCCCACCACCACCACCACATGTGATATACTGAACTTGAGAAATTGATAGGGATTAAGAAATATTATTTTGTCTTAGAAGTAGTTGAGGGGAAATTATGTGAATGAATGTACAGTAATATGCTCCTTATGTCTCAAAGAAAGAAACAATGTATTAACAGCGTTTGTAAGTCTTCACCATTTCCTCTCATCATCTGAAACATTACATCATTAAATACAACATGCTGAAATGCAAGAACAATCATACCTATGACACTTATTTTGTGACATCAAATGCACAATAGACCACTGTAGGTCATGGTGCAAGGGCCAAGAAGGCCCACCCCTTATATACATTACTTACATTATACACTCATTCGTGACATCAATGTTACCAACTTAGTATTCTACATCACTTGAAACTGTGTAACATAATGTAATTTGGGACTATGGTCAGTTATTCAGATATAGAATGGGGTCCCACTTTATTTGTATTTATGAAAATATGCACAATAAAATTTGTAATTCCTTTCCCCACAGCAATCTTTGTTTTACTGTAAATACAAAGCTTCAATATTTTGCACTTTTAAAAGTTGTTTTACAATGCATGCATTAAATATATTACCATTCTGCCCATGTACATTACAAATTTCGTTTTATGTGGTCAATAGGATTCAAAATTTATGTTCCTAAAACTTAACCTCCTGAAATAATGAAGCAGGATCAGGTGTACCAATATATGAAATAATAATAATAAAGTACACTGTAGTCTTCAGAAAATCTGAATCCAATTCTATCATATTGTGACAGGATATGACCATTTACTATGCAACACTAAGTAAGCAGTAGATTCTGTTACAACAGATAGCAGTGAATGATGCGTTACCAGGTAACAAAGTCCTAAACACAAGATTCCCAGGACAACCAACCAGACAACAGAGGACAATTAACTATTTGACATGGTGCCTTCTATGAAGGCTGCCTAGCAGTTATAAAAGGCAGTGGATTTGTGAATTGATGCAGATGTCCAATAAATCCAATCGTCAAAACTAGAACCCACAATAATTTGCCATGCCTACACCTTATACATGACAGAATATACATAATTTCATAGCCAGTGTAGTATATTGTGAAACAAAATAAAGTATGTCACAAAATTAAGGTTTATTCTACATTCCTTGACATACCAAATGTGAAGAAGTAATGGCTGTTACCCCCATTGCATATTTGGAAGGTTCTGGGTTCGCATCTCATCTTCTGGACCTGTTATGCTGATGGTTTCATAGTTTTTCTTAGTAAATTGAAAAAAAAAGATGTTGTAGCCGTTTAAATAGTCCACACCCACTTCATTCCACATCCTTTCCAATTAATAATTACTAATTCAACACTATTTAACCTATGCAGTACAAGAATGGTAAAGCTATCCTTGTAACAGGCTTTCGAGGCCCATAGGGTTGTGAGACATTAAGGATCCCACATTATCTAGACAATCAGCTCAAAAATGGTGGTAAGGTTGTCAGCCCTATGCACTGGCCGCACTTTACCGCCCAGGAAAATTCCTGGTACTCATTTCTGTAAGAGGCTGAGTCGACCCCAGGGCCATAGTGCAGCTAGGATTAGGTAAATTGGAAAAAATCCAATGGCCTCATTGGGACTTCAACCCGTGACCTTCCGGCATGTAGTATTGTGCCTCAACAAACTACAAAACGTTGCTAAACAGACCAAGGTGCCGGGGGTTCTATTCCCAGAGGCAAAGTAGCAGGGTCACAGAACTGAGCACACATCTCAATTAGCACCAAGGTCAAAAATGTTTGAGCTATACTTCTACTCCCCCATATGACTTCAAGGCATGGTGCTTAATTACATAAACATAAGTAGTTTACTGACTATAAGTGAACAACACCACCATTGAGTGAGATTTAATGATACTGTTCGAAATACAGAGTGGAAATGATGGTGTAATGTGCATCTCATTAATACACAGGGGTTTTAAAGAGATCATGGCCCATTTCAAATGTAGGCTTTGAACTCCAGCATTCACTAGGGTGGACTGAAGGAAATCATGAAGAACATAAGTGAAGACAGCCAGCCTCCTGGCCAAGATGTGAACCACGGACTGCTGAAAATGAAGCAGGGGTGCTAAGCACTGGACCACGACATTCAGCTAATTGTTCTGAGATGTGCTGTCATCGGTCTTAAAACAGGACCGGATGGAGCAAGATCCAACATTGTTTAAGATATTCAGAATGGGGTTTCTGATTTTCATGTCAGTAAAACTGAACACTGTGGACATCTGTGTTGTAGTCTTGTAGCTGAATACCAATATTTTTGAGACATATACTGTCTTCACTGTTTACTCATAAGATGGAAGTACATTCTTCCGTAGCGCTTGTACCTATCTGCTGAACTAGATGGTATTATAACCCAGAAGCCCACATTATGAACTTTTCAGAATGGTATACATGGAAGAAGCAAGTATCTGTGATAACACACTGAGGTTTATTATGTTGTTAAAACAACTCTAATGTTAAAAGAAATTCTGCTCCCATTCAAACGAATTTACTGTCCCACTTATCATAAGAAAGTCAAATAAAACACAACTATGCATCTCCTAATCATACATAATACCCAAATAGAGTAAAAAAAAATGCAAAAATATTCCCTGAAGGGAGTGAAATCTTTATTTCAGCAATAAATTTTCTTTAGCCACATATGAGAGAGCATTACATGCCACTTCTTCTCACGGTTGAGCCAGTTGTCTTACAATTTATTTAAGAAGTTTGTATATTTCATTGTACCATTCATGTCCTGACTCCAATCTATAAACTTAAAGATAAGGGTAAAGGTGAATGTATAAAAATGAAAGCATTTCCTGTTCTACCAATGGTTGTAAAACACGGTATCATGCCTCAAAGAATGAATTATATGCCTATATGAAAGAAATCTGAGGTCAGGCTTCTTAGTGGAGCTGACGGAGAAATATTAGAGGAGTATGGAAAAAAATTACACAATGAGAATCTTTACCAGTATAATCTATATTCTTCATAAAACTGAGGAAAATTGATGTGGCATGTAATAAGCATGGGAGGGATGAAGAATTTATACAGATTTCATTCAGAAAACCTGAAGGGAAAAGACCTTGGGAAAGTTTGACAGAAAGGGAAGGATAATACAGTGTGTACATAAAGTCTGGGAACACTTTAAATTATTTACTGCACAAGAACTACAAATTATACAGACATCATATATGTGTCACTTTGAAGAGAAACTCTGAAAGTTTGTTTTTACCTCTTAAACTTTCGATGTGGGAACCATGAGTGACTCGGCAGACGTCCACACGGTAATCGAATTCTTACCATACTCTTCCCAACATGGCCTCGTCGACTGTGGCGGTTAATGAATTCCTGCGCTTTCTTGGTACCCCAGATTCGACAGTTATGCCTGTTCACTGTCCCATTTGTGTGAAATGTCGCTTCGTCGCTAAAAATGAAGCGATTCACGAACCCATAGTCATCCTCTGCCAATTGTTGCAACTGACAACAAAACTCAAAGCGCTTGCCTTTGTGGTCGTCATTTAGCTTATGCAGTAGCTGCAATTTGAATGGCTTCAGTCAGCTTCTTGCGCAGAACTTTCCACACTGTCATTCGAGGCATTTGAAGTTCACGGGNACTGATCTCTTCGGGCTCCTCGTGAATCTCTCTTACATGCTCCGCATATTCTTCACTCACACCGAGCAACCTATAGTCACGAATTTCTTGTGCCAGTTTTGGTGGGTTCTTACCATACTTGGTCCTAAACTTTCGTTGCACGCGTGTAACACACGTGTTTTTGTCAAATTCTAACACACTGAAGGGCTTTCCTGCACCACGTGTCTCCATGTTTGCAACTAACGCTAACTATCGGCAAATGACTGAATTACACGCATTGGCGGAACATACACACTTTCAGAGTGTCTCTTCAAAATGACAGGTATATGATGTCTGTATAATTCTAGTTCTTGTGCAATAAATAATTTAAAGTGTTTCCGGGCTTTATGTACACCCTGTATATGTATATGCGCACATATACATAAAGGACGTACGTGAGGATTTGATTCATGTTGAACCTTTGGGTTCTAACTAAAGGGTGGAATTTCTTGTCCATCTGAGAGATAAGCAACTTATCATGAAGAACTCTATTTCGTGGATATATTTACATGATTCTAATTGTAATAAAGTGTTAATAAGTTATGTAGTCTTTGCCCATGATGTGCATAACTTATTCCACATCCTCCTCATATTTTTCAACAATTTCAAATTCACCGTATTTTACGTAAAATGGAGACTATATACGACGTGAAAAAATAAAATTTAACTGGATAATATGTCATAACTGATAACAGTGATCAACCAAAGTGATTTCAAATACCGCAAAGGAGACCTGCTTCAATGTTACAAGCACTACCTGGTGACAAGTCAGTTAACTTCCATCATCTTAATGAAGGGGCTGAATTACCTTTCTTATCGCTCTGATGGCGCCTTTGTGCTGATTTGTAAGCTGCACGCACCGCGGCTCTTCATCTTCATCTGGAAGAAATCAACAGTAAGAATACAATCACTTCATACTACATCTTAAGTTGTGAAAGTTTTACATTTCACTTTTCATAAGAAATATTTTATCTCAATGTTAAATGTATAAACAAAACAAAATATCTTTTAAACGTTTTTTATCCTACGATACTTATTTAATGCAAATTTACTGTCTCTAAATAAAGAAACAAGTGCTGAAATCACAAAAATTGTATGTTTTTTATTTATGAAGAAGAGTGCCTGTATTTTAGATACGGCTGTGTTTAGTAGTTACGTAATTTAATTGAATATTACTTGGAAATAGATTTAAGTGTAATTATATATATTCTGTTTCCAGTATATCACTGCAAGTAATAAAACAAAATAGGGTAATCAAGAAAGAATTATGTTAAGGAAATATTTGTTTAGTGTTAGTAGGTCTTTTTGAGCACACTGAATGTTCAATTTATGTTTATGTAGTGTTTTTACATGTGTTGTGTTAGAGCCATTTAAGGCATTCTACATACAAACCACAAACTACAGTGAGGCGAGGACGCTGACTTTTATGGAAAAATAGTGATACAGAATTGGAACAGACTATGACCATATTGATATTCGGGTTACCCACTTTTAGCAGGTTTAGGTTAATACTTAAGGGCTCAGTGGTTCCCCCGACTCCATATGCCACACGGTTTGCAGTCAACACTACAGTCATTAATCCTAGCACAACTAAAACTGTGGCTGTCGGCAGTTCTTACATGCAAATGCCAGATACCATCATAAAGAGTGGCCTGCATACTCAGTTAATCTTAAGGTATAATTACGCAACTGGTTGAGAGTGTATGGGTTACAATTTGCAAAATCGCAGTGTGTACAGTTCAAAAGATTGGAATATGCTTCTGTCAGAATTCCTGTAAAAGTTAACTGTGCAAAGTTCACTTATGTGCTAGGATGAAGAGTTTTGGATTGGGGGGGGGGGCATCATTCAGTTATCTTCGCTCAGCTCCAGCACATCTGCCGTTGGTAAGTCACTGTCTGTACATGGTTCTATTTCTTTTTGTTTCACTACAGCAACCTTGCAAATTTCCCTTTTACTGTTCCTACCTGAACAATAATCTTCACATTCCATACCTGTGGCATTCTTCGATATATGCATACATATTCAGTCAAGAATTCCTTGGAAAACTCTTAGCAGGGAACAATGATAGACACATAAACCTTATTCTCAACATTTAAGCCAAATCCGAAGTTGGCTCAAACGGTAATGCTTCTGTATTTTATTCGAGAGGGACCTGGTTCAAATCGCAGGCAGGATTATCCATACTGAAATTTGAAGTGGGGTCCAACAGCTACTTCAGGAAAATTCTGGTATAGTACTGTAAATTATGCCATGACCGCTTCCTTCACATCCTCCTGAATTCATTATTCACTGTTTTGAAATCACTCTGTGCTACACAGTCTGAGTCAGTGACAGCACCATCAAATGAACTATAAATAAAGATTTACATGAAAAAGCTACCAGTCAGCTGCAAAGCAATACAGTGCCAGATACAGGAGACAGAAATTCAAAGTTATCTTGTATCCCAAAAGGAATAGAAGTGGGGAAATTTACACTCCTGTTCCCAAAGAAGTACTGACCAGGGAATATACTCTGTATATATTTTTCTGTTGTCCCACCTCTTTAATAAAAGTAATCAAAACTCACTTAGGTTAAAAGTAGCTTTCTCGTTTCTGCAATTGACAATATAATTTGGACCTTATGAGAAATAAACATACAGGCCTATCATAAATTATAATTGATATAAAACATTCCAAATTAGACAAATTTCAGAAGTTTTCGTTGCTCAGCTGGTTAAGTGATTCCCAGCATTTAGGGAAGTTTTGTTACCACATATGCAAGAATCCACTACTGGATTCTATTGAAGGTACTTAAATTCTAATTCAGACTCTCACATTTGACTGAAGATCCACTTCAATAGTGCCTTCTCATCTGCTCATAAGTCACACAAATAGTCTCTCTGGGGCCACCATCTTTTGTGTGGGTTTTTCGTCTTCCAATATGCTCTGCGTGTTCCATCTCACGGTCCTGATTTATCTTAATAATATTTGAGGAAATGACAAATTATGGCGCCCTTCACTAAATAACTTTCTTTATCTTCTTATTGCATTCTCCCACTTAAGTCAACATTTCCTCCTCAGAAATTTCTTCTGAAATATTAATCTATAATTTTCCCTTATGGAAAAGAATAGAAATATTATACCGGAAGATGACTCTAAATTTAAAGGGCTCAAGAATTTAAAACGAAATCAAACTGGCCAATGTTCTGACAGGATTCATTATTTTACATGGTTGCGATGTGTTCGGATGTATTTGTGGATGTAATTTTCGTTCATTACTGTCATTCCCAAATATTTAAGGAGGCAGATGGTAGCGTAGTTGGATGAGGTACTATGATACAAGTCGGAAGTTTGCTGGTTTGATTACCGATGATGTCATTTGATATTTCAATTAATCTAATCCTTCCAGCTGCACTATAACCCTGGGGGTCGATTTAGCCTCTAACAGAAATGAGTACCAGGAACCTTCCTGGGGTGTAAAGGGCGGCCAGCCAGCCTGCGGGTAAGGCTGACAACATAACCGCCATCTGCGAGCCGATTGTCTAGAAAATGAGGAAGATCTGACATCTCACGACTACATGGGCTTTTGCAGTCTGTTACAGGGATAGCTTTACCTTTTTTTTTCACCATAATATTTAAACTTTACAATATTATTAATTCCTTGTCAGCAGTTCTTAGCTTCATTGGAAGGGGCATCTCATAAAATCTGTAGTCCTTACGCAACTCAGAATGGTCTAGGCAAATTGTGGCAAACTTTAGTTGCCTGGCCTCGGCTATGCAGCCAAAGCTGTTATAATTAAGGAGACGTACCGGCCACTCTTGGTGCTGAGTCACTTGGTGAGAATAACAAGGAAGTTCCTGTGGCACATTTTTCAGGCATTTATTCGATTCTTAGTTTGTCTGTGGTTTTGATATTGATCCAAGATGCATTAATCTCATTTGTGAGATGGCTTCTTGAATTTGACTTTACGTATATCACAGTTCAAAACAGCCGACAAGATAATACAATGTTATGTTCACTAAAAGAATAAGATTTGAAGCAGCATACACAACAATAACTTCAGAAAATAAACAAGATGGACACTATCGTGTCAAACATCTGCTTTATTTTGCTGCTGATTTCTTCACTACATGTTTCGACCCTTACCTGTGTCAACCTCAGGCATACATGAATACTTGGTGTCAGATTATTGTTGTGTAGATTGCATCGAATCATATTATTTTAGTGAATTATACACAACAGGATGCATACAATAAAGATTTCAATGTTGTGTTTTCTTGCAACCATATTCCTCTGGACAACCATACCATACCATTCGGTATTTGGATGGAGTTATATACATAAAGTAACAGCAAAAACATATCTTTTGAAAAGGAACTAATATGGTGAAATGTTTAACTGTCAAGTGGTTCAAAATATTGATGGAGACAAAACCTGCAATCCCCAGGGCCAGCCAGTATCTCACTATCAAAGGTTCACTTCCCTGCTCTAGGCCCAGAGGTTGAACTGGGTTGCTGCCCAGAGGTAGAAGGGGAGAGAGTCTGGAACAGGACTAGTAACCTACTTTCTTACAGACGACATTTAATATATATCCTAGACTAAAAGGAAGAGATAAGGCTAAAATACGAACAGAACAACACAGTTCTTCATTCAGAATTACTGGGTTTTTGGACTTTGTCCATTGTCCGGTATTCTAGAAACTAGAATACATTACGTTCCAGAAACTGGACCAGTTTTCTTCCTCATGTTAGAGGAGTGTGAGACACCTACACTGTTCGGTCCCTTAGAAAGAGCTAACTTCAATCACTGAACCCACAATTCTTCGTTCTTTTGTTATTTAATTTAGATTTACTGAAGAATTGCACGACACCACAGCACAAAATAGTAAATTTGAACCAAACTGAGAATTTAGAAAATGTACTCTTTAACTGATATATGTCCAAAGAAACCTGCCGCAAACTAACACACTTAAATATAATATTTTAAAACAAGGATAAATCGGTGAATGTACAATTTTACACATTCGTCACGGGTCTGTTTCATTGTCTCTTCTTCTAGTTTGTCTATATGAAATATTGACAAATATTATTCTATACTCCGAAGGAGGGGGGAACCATCTAGAGTCTTCAATGTATTATGTAACGGCTATCTGTGTAAAAGATGCTTTATCTTTATCTCACATTGACTGGAAAATATATCTCCATTCTTCCCTATACAATTAAATATTTTGTCCAAACTATAACGATGAATCATTTATATACGGAGACAAATGCATTAGTAAAACGGTTGTGTGTGCTGGTGACTTCTCTTTAAGTTGAAATAACATGCAGACTTACCTCGACATGAGAAGAGGGACTGTCCGCTTGAGCTGTTCAGCCAACAATCTGAGTGTCATCCAAACTAGAGAGCAATGCAGTTAAATGCCATTCGCTATTATCTGTAAGCATCTTGCTTTAGTTTTGAGTAGTGACACAAACATGCAATCATCATTCCATATCATTTCAAAAGCAAGTGAAAAACTTGGTGAAATTGTGTCCACATTTCTCTGTAAACACACTGGATTACTATTAATTTGCTATAATTAGTATTTACTGTACTTTTAAAAAGGCCTGAATGTAGCTACTTTTGGTGCTGGTCGAAGCTCAAACTGGCCAACATGTTATATTTATTTACTTAATACGAAAGGATACCTTGCTCCTTATAATTTCCTGCAGTACAATAATATAACTTCTTCATATCGTATATGGGGCCTGCTGCTGCCAGCTCGGTGGCTATGCATGTCACTGCATTAAAATGGGATGACTTTTTTTTACGGTTTTCCATTTTAAGTTCCCATCATTATAAAAGACATCCAAACTGACATTACACTATTCGTCAAGCTCTGCAGCAAACATGCTAA